AACAATGCAAAATATTTCAGATTTCAAGCTTCTTCATAAACTTGTTAGGGATTGAAAATTAAGCAGAAGATTCATACTCAGACAGCAAAATCTGATGCTGGAGACTTTGGAAACAGTTTGGTGCTGCAGGTAATTCATCAAATGTGCCTCTGGGTGTTCCTGCCTTGTGCCCTGATCTCCTGGGGCAGCTCCATTGGCAGAGCTAATGCTTCAGTGATTGCAGGATGATTTCTTTCATGCTGCTTAGCTCATGGGAAACCTACCCACTCAGAAATGTTTTTATGAGTTTGCTAACTCACCCTGTGGCTACACCTTGCTACTGCTCTTGCAGGTAGAGGCAGGAATCATGTCAGGAGGTGAGTGGAGGGAAAACAGCTCAGCTTCTCACAGCAGATGCTGGGGATGGAGTATCAAACTCAGCTCAGCAGGACCAGGGCATTGCTTCCACTTCAAACTTGTCATGTTTCCAGATGCCATTAAAGAACCCTTCCTGGGATTGCTGTTCTCCAATTAGCTTTCCATCTGTGAGGAAGCTGAATGATCCATGTAGCATTTAAATTCACGTTTTCAGGTAAATATTTTTATTAAAGCAGAAATTCTACACTACATTAAGGAAGGGAGAAAACTTTTTCTTAGTTCTGGAGGATTCAAACACTCCCCTGCATCTTGCTGACAGATACCTTGAAGGTATCTGTCAGCAAGATGGCTCTTGAAGGGAGCCAAGAGGGAGAAATGGGTTGCTCTTCTGCCTTGTCAACTTTTGGCTTCTCAGTGCCTGATGCTCAACCAGTTTCAGTGTTACAAAACACGTGGTTCTGGGCAAGCTTTTGGCTGCCCACAGTTTTTGAATAGAATTGAGGAAGTGAGTAGCACATCCGTTATTTAAAGAAAGCTGCGAGCAGCACTAGAATCCTACAGACGTGGGCATGTGTTCTGTATATATATTTCTTTTTTTTTTTTTAGAAGCTGATTATCCACCGTGGTGCCAGAATTGTGGAAGACTTGCGTTAATAGTTTATGCCCACCACCCCCCATCATCTTTCATCTCAGTGTTAGTGAGTAACTTAAGTAGTAGCAACTGCAAGTTACAAAATACATGTCAGGTTGTATTGCTGACACTTATTAACAACTGTATTTTATTGCTTGTTTATGTTTTAAGTTTTTAACAGGAACAATATTACTGGTTTTGCTCTCTTCAGTCTTCAATTTATAATATAACAATGATTTTATGGTTAGAAATTTAATCTGGGCTCTTGTGTTTGCTGTTCTAAGTAAAGCTTGTTTTTATATAGTGGAATTAAAGTATTTCCACCAGGGTGTATGTCCTATGAGACATACAAACAAAAGACTTTGCAAGCTTACACATTGAAGCTGGAAATTAGGAATTAAATGCTTAAACTACAAAGGAATCAAAGGATAAATATAGATAAGTCAACAATATTGAGTTTACCAGGTTGCTTGAGCTGCCTTACGCTGCTCCCTTGGTGGCTCTGCAAATCTGACCAGTCTCTTTTGGTTACTCACCTTTGTCATGGGGAAGTAAATGTGCCAGCAATCACTGTCTCTATTCTTTATTGGTACCAAACACTGACATCTGTAATGATAAAAGGACTGTTGTAGGGAGTTTTGTGATTCAAGTGAGGCTTGGTGCCATATTTTACTCCTGAGTCTGAGAATTCTGTCTTTAATGTCCAAACCGAGTTCTGTTATTTAAAGGATAAGAGTAATGAGATGATCATGTTATCATCTGTCTTGGGGTTGGTAGAAGTGTTGTTATCTCATCATTTATCTCAGTGATGTTGGTGGTACCACTTACTACAAGAGAGCCTGGCCTGTATCTTTGCAAATATTTTTTCAGGGATGCTCTAGTACCTTGTCTTAATTTGAATTTTGATATGTGGAGGAGTTTGATGTGAGGCTTTAAATGAACCATAGTACAACCCCCCAACACTTCCCTTTAGCAAGAAGGTAAGGACTCTGAGATTTTATGTTCCTACTGCCATTCCTTTTTATCACAGTGTTCCAGCTGGTGTGTCTGCTTGATGATAATTAAGAGCCACAGTGATGCACCAAGACCTTGTTATGACAGCGCCTCCCATGTGCAGAACGAAAAGGCAGTTTTTGTTCCCTTCCCAAATCTTGCTATGCTGATGTAGTCTTTTGTTCCACTGGTTATTTTTCTGGGGTTTGGTGGCAGTGGGTGGGGTGGGTATGACTGTATACAGGAACAGTTGCAACTGTTGGTAAGACCTTAGTAAGCAAGTAGTCTGGCCTGTGGTGGTAACATTTTTTCTCTTTCTTGTAGCCTTAAGGCTATGTGGTGGACTTTTACCAGCATAGTATGTCTTGCCTTCCTCCAAGCCAGGGGTTTGTGTTAAGTGTTATTGTAGGTGCTTACATGGCTCTCCTGGCTCATGGAACTCCAAGTTATGTCTTCTCTGAGAGAAAGGGCTGAGCAGATGTACCCTGGAGTTGTCCTGCTCTTAAAATTGATTTATTCGGTGATGAGTGTGCCAAATGCCCTGGCTTCTTTTGGGATGACAGCAGGGATTTCTTGTCTGCTGCTGGCTTTCTCTTGCTGTTGGATACCATTCCTAGTTTGTAGGAGCAGAAAATATTTCAGTAAGGGGGTTGTAAACCTTAATTCTGGCAGCTTAGACATTTATGTGAGCTGTTCTGCAGAATGTCAACCAAAATAAGCTGGAGTGGTTTTAACAGCCTAAATAATCACTCTTTGTATTGGTTGATCCTGAGTAAATAGGTTAGAAAGTACTTAAGAGCAGCTCAGCTGGAGCCTTATGGCAGAGAGCAGGGACAAGCAGCCAAGGGTGCTGAGCTCTTCCATGGCACAGCTGTTCTTAGAGGAGGAGACCCAAACCTAGGGCAGAGGTTCACAAGCTGAAGGGCTGCTTGGAGGCAGAAATGTGGTTTCTCCCTGCAGATAACCCTGCGATTACAGCTGAAATAAGAAAATACCTCTTCAAGATCCTCATGAGAAATAGTGTTTTTTCTGGTTAGGCTGTAATGATCTGCGGGTGTGGAGTGAAAGAAGTGACTAAATTTAGATATATTTCATGTGGAAGCAGGGGATGGCAATGCTGGCACCCTTGTGGTGGTGCTGCCTGGTGCCAGGGCACGTGGTGAGGGGCTGCTGTGCAGCAGTGCCTTGTCTTTCCCACGTGTGTACAGAAGAGTCCACGTTTTGGTTGTAACCAGTTCCCACTACTAGTTCAGATTTATTATTCATTAGTAAAATTAATGGTAGGAGGGAGTTGGGCTGGAAAACATGAATGTGAAGGTAAGAGATTGCATGACAACACTTCACAGTCCTAAACAAGGAGTCAGGAATAAATAATGGCAGAAAAAGAAGTGGGAGGAGGAAAAAATGAATGGGTCAGAGGAGAAAATGCTGTATTTGTATTGACTTTATTGTTTCAGTGCCATCCCAGATGTGTCTAACAAGTCTGACGTTGTTTGAGTTTTTTGTTACTAAGAGCCTTTCACGAGGCCCTGCAGTGTAATGCTCGTGTGTCACTGGAGCAGCCTGACACGGCTCTGCCACCCTGCAGGTTGGGCAAAATGTGCTCATAGGGGATGGGGGGGGCAGCTGGATCTTACTGCTGGTTTTAAGGGGAGTAAGAAACCATCAGAAACTACTTTCTAACTTTCTGGCCTTCTTCACCAAAACATAAAACAAACTGTGTGAGAGGCTTCCTGGTGAATGGTGTGTCATTTCTGACACAATGGTATTTTAGTTCTGGAACATCAATCATTCTGATGGCTGCCATCCATAGCTGTGCATATATAAGAGCAAAATAATTTGACACATTTTAAGAAGGAGTACTAAAAGTTTCATAAAATAAGACTGCCGTAGCCCCTTATCTTCAGGTAAACCCTTTGTTTTGGTTAAGAAGTTTAAATGTCCATAGTGCTTCTGATCCATTATTATTGGTTAACCTGCACTTTCCTATGTGATTTTGTTGTTAATATTGCTTTATTGTTTTAACTGGATGAATTATTTGATTGGCAAGGGCTTGTAATTGAAAAAAATACTGTTCATTCATTGAATTATAGGAGTGACCCTCACTTTCTGGTGCTAACAGTGTGAGAATATGGTTTACCAAGTGCAATGTTTTTGGTTTTTTTCTTTTTCTGAGAGGAAATGCAGAGGAAATGAAAGCCAGCAGCGTTATTGCCAGCATTTCTTCACTCTGCTTTACGTTAGAATGAAATTTTTTAAAAATTAATGCCAGTGCAAATAACAGAACTGCTGATTGCTCCTTGTGTTTTGGGGTAACTGCTTGCTGTTTTCCTTTCAAATTGGTTGTGCTATATTTTCAGCATTAAAAAGAAGTGCAGTGTCTCCTCCTAAATCCCTCTATGCCATTGTTCATGGCTGTAAGATGATTTTTCACTGGAACTTTGTGCTGTTTCAGCTCTGCTGTGACTGGTGCTCTCTGTGCAAGCCCAGCCAGAGCTTCCTGCTGTGGTAACAGCTGCTGGGGGGAATTTCTGAGGAGGGGGCTTGGCTTGGGATCATGGTGCAAGGTTTTACTTCTGTTAGGACTTGTGTACCTCCTGTGGCTTGTATGCACTTAGTGATTGACATGAAGTGGTGGCTGTGATTCTGAAACAGTGTCTGCCTGAGTAGCTTCAAACCAAAAATTAGATCTGACTTTTTTTCTTCAGTGCTACTGTTGAAATAGATTTTTATATGGAGCTGTGATCTTGTGGGATGCTGTATGAAATATTCCATACACATGGAAAAGAGCAGGATGCCGCAGATTTTTAGTGAGTTATGTGAACTTTCCCTTCAGGCAAGAAGTGGAGCTATCCAATTTTCCACTCACACTAGAGACAGAGCTCAAAGGGCTGCAGAAGCCAATAGTTAACTCTGTTGGAGATGCTCTGCCTTGCAGTTCTTTAAAATAACATCTACAGCGGATAATAGTGTGCAAACGTGTGTGACAATTTTTTTCTCTTCCCAAACCTTGTTCTAGATGTCAAAATTAACCTGGACTGCTTGGGAATGGCAAAACATAGCCCTGGGATCCTGCCATGAACAGTAAGAAAGTTGAGATACTTTGTGTATGCAAATAATTTTCTTTTAGTGACTAAACCCCAGTGAAACCATTCCTGTTCAATTAACACAACCAGGCACACATTGTGTAGCTGGGTGTGCAGGTGCTCCCAGCTTTCCAGGCAGTAAAGAGGCAGAACAGTAGGTCAGAGGGGAGGACCAGCAGGGGAGCATTCTCTGGGAAACTGTAGTGGGGAAGTCTCTGCAGTCAGTATGACATTGGAGGTGGGAAGCTGCTATGGGTGGTGCACTAGGAAATTATTGAGGTGGTAGCTGAAGGATGCTTTCCTGTAATGTGTAATTATATTGTGAGACTCCGTTGTTACCCAGTGTATAATTATATCAAGACTCCATTGTAATGGGATATCTTGAGTGCAAATTAGATTGAAATGTGATTAGACAAATTAGTGGAAGAAAAAAGTGAATTTTGAAGTGCTCAAGGCTGAATTCCAGACACTCATTGTGGGAGGAAGTCCCTAAAACCCTGACAGAGGGAAGCTGCAGAAGGCAGTGTCCTTTCACTGCCACTGCTCCTTAATTGTCTGCTGTTAGACAGGTAGCCTGGCTGATTAGGTCTTCAGTCTGAGCTTTCCTGGCTGAATTTTGTGTGGTGCTTTTATATGAAACTTAGTGTGTAACAGAGGTTGATCAAGCAGTTTGTGTAGCCAAGAAAGCAAGATAGCTTTGAAGATATTCTTGAGTGTTGATCCAAATATTCAGATATTTTTCTGTTGTTGGTAGCCTGAGACTTCCTAGTTTGAAGGATGTGTAAATATTCATGTATGTATGTGCTCTGTACTCTTTACATAGCCTTTTCCAGATGTTGCAGTAGACATCCTTAAATTAGCACATTGAAAATTATTCTGATTAATTTTCCTGGTACAAAATAGATTACTTGAGAGACTGTGTGGGTGAGTAATATGTTTGTAAAGTGTCAACAGTGTCTGTGGAAAACTTACACAATTTGTCAGCCTTCACTGGGACAGAAATTAGAAGGCTTTTGTATTGTTACATATAATAATTTGGATTAGTCCATTGGAAATGTACATCTCCTGAAAACTCCTGTAATCTAAACTCTTCACAGGAATGTAAATACTTAACATGCAAATGTTCAAATGAAAAAAATATTTTATTTTCTTTTGTAGGACTCTGACCATATATTGTTTAATTCTTCTGTGGGAACAGTTTTTTTCCAAGGTCTTTCAAAAGCTGGTTTATATACTTGAGATGTTAGACATTGTGAATATCTTGAAAATATCTGGACTCTTTTGATGAACAAGCTATATTTGTTAAATTCTTGTAGATCAAATCACAGAGCTGATGTGTTCTTTATTAGGAGAGCTGATAAAGACACAGGAAGCTTAGTGCTTTGTACAAAGTAGGGTATGTAACTCCAAGCAGATTCTGCTAAGACTGATTACTTTTGGCTTTCTGAGAAGTTTGTTCAGCTTGCCTGAGAAAGATAAATGTATATATTTGTAGAATATTAAATAGCTTTGAAATTTTTCCAGAATGCAGCTAAAGCTTCAATTTACTTTTTCTGATCGTGGATTGACTGAGCTCACAATTTAAGCTGCACTGCTCAGAGGTAAAATATTGCTTCATTTTGAACTGTCTTATTTAGCAAATTCACTGTCTGAGAGGTTGGGACATCTAGAATGATCCTGTTTTTTTTTGCTCCCTGCTAATCAGTTATCTAAAGGTTGCATGGCTTCTCTTCTGGTCTTTCCTTCAAGGTGGTTATTTGAACCAAAAAAGCTGGACTGTTGTACGGGTGTTCAAGATCCTTGTGTTTGAGAAGTCCTTAATGTCCATTTCTAGCACAAGGATCAAAAATCCAAACCTCATTTTGCTTTTAAAGCTCTTGTGTTAGAAAACATCCATATGCCACTAACTAAAGCTGAATGACCAACATGTGAAGTGCATCCTACTCAGCTCTCATGTCATTTGTGAGCCTTATGATAAGACAGTGAGTGGTGTGTGCTGTGTTGTGCTCTGGCTGCATTTCTGACCTAGTGTGTCCTGAATTGTCAGTTCAGTGTTTGTGCCATTTCAAGGTCTGCTCAGAATAGCTTTAGAAAGAAAATAAAGGAAAACTAATGCCTCTAAGTTGATCTGCAGCCTGGTGTTCTCTTAGCTTCCACCTTCGCCCATAACAGCTCTGCAAAATTAGGAAGCTTGCTAACAGTGATTGCTGTTGGAAATCAGACTGACTAACTTCATCTAGGAGCATTTTTCTCAGGCCTTTATTTGCATATGTAGATTAGGAGAAGCCTCCAGGTAAAGGACGTTGTTGATGGAAATAACAGGTGGGAAGGCTTGGAGTTCAGTGGAAAGTGATTCCAAGGTGCCTTGTCATAAGGATACTTGAATAGTAGCAATATGGAAATACCAAGGATTCAATTTCTCAGTGATGCAGGTGGTTCTGATACTCTGGTATGTGATGTAGGAGAGGGTGCCAAAAGGTTTACAGCAGAAGATGGGGAAATGGGCTTTAATGTTGTGAACTTTTTTTGCTTTTATTGCCAGGTAATGTACACTGGCTATCCGGGAGTCGCTTGTGAAGGCTGGAAGATTTCTGAATCTTGTGAAGTCTGCTGAAGTGTGTGTGCATTGTTTTACTAGGAGGCTTTTCAGACTTTTACTTCCTGTTTTTATCACTTGTTTCCCATTTGATGTGAACTGGCCTTTTCATTAACGCTTCCAGAGCAGCAGTTGGTGCCTCTGAGTCTGTGACACAGACTGTCCAGAACGGAGTTCCTGGAGAATGGAACTCCTAACTTTGTACTGTTAGCCCTCTTGGGAGGTAATGATTAAAAACCTTCCTCCAGTCATAAGCATAGAGGCAGAAGCTCACATTACCTTTGGGAGAGGGGTGGCATGGAAGCTGCTTTGTGGTCTGCACACAGCAAACAACAGGAGTTGTGGGCATTGTCACTGGTAGGGGCCTGCTCTGCATTGTGGCTGTAGGAGCAACCGTAGGAGGACAACAGCATTTTGGGCAGCTGCCACTGACAGACAATCTGGGTGCTGTGCACAGCTCTGAACAATGCTTGGGTCTGCAGCTGGGGATGACAAGAGGATGCAGATGTTTGAGCCAAGGGCAGAAGAGACAGAGCAGTGCAGCTGTCCAGGACCAGAGCTGATGTGAACCCGGGTGAGTCACTAACCTGTCAGGTCATTGTGGCTCTCGCAGGGAGCTGGCTTGTCTCACGCTTGCTTTCTTGTGTTTTGGGGCACTGGTCCCTGCTGCATCCTTGTCCCCTCCCTGTGCTGGCATCTTAGACTCAGTGTCACTGTGGTGTGTCGTCTGCAGCCTATTCCTTCTCCCCTTCTCTTTGGTCCCAGGCTGGGATTGCAGTGTGGGAAGATGATCTCGTTAACGCTCAAGGGAATGGGAGAGAAATCCATTCATTCCTTGGGACTGGGTTGCACTATGCTGTAATTGTTGAAGCTCCCAGTGTTAAGAGTATAATATAAGGGCATCCAACCGAGGTCTGTTAGGCTTAGCACAGCTATTCAATACAACACAGCATTTTCTTCTTGCCTTTGGTGCCATTTTAAACTGCAGGTGTTTTACTTAGGTGTGATTTATACGTGGTGTATTAATGACTTCATCTGCTTCAGGGAACTGTTTTCTCTTTCTGTGTGAGTGAAATGCTATACCAAGAAGCTTGGGGTTTTTTAATACTTGAAATATTACTGCAGACTTCTAAGCTTGTGTGAGTGTGCTGAAGCTTGTTTTATTTTGAGTTTCTAGAATATGTTGAATAAAATTTTTATCAAACACATTTTTAAAGTATATTAATGAAGGCCATCCTGTAACTGCAGTTGACAAGCATGGTAGCACTGCTTTTGGTGGGTAAGACTTCTTCACAACTGCAAAATTTCCATTAGGATAATATGTGTTCTGCCACTTAAAGTTGTATTTTGATTGTTGGCTTCCTTTATTTTTCAAAATGCAGCACTTTGTCTGACTGAAGCTAATTGGTAGCTTAAGTTGTACTTTCTGTAGTCTATAATATAGGGGTTCTTTTGTGTCTGGACTCAATTTTTACAGAAAATGTTTAAGTACTTATATACTGCTGGCTTATGGGTGGAAGTTAGTAAATTATTTTACTTGGTAATGATTATCAGGTGATAGTTGATATAGGGTAATGGTGCTCTTGAGTAATGCAACTCTGATGCCTGTTATAAAAACTGGGAGGCTGTGCTATTCTCCAGAAACGTGTACGAAGTCCATGCTGAAAACTGCCTACATCAGGCTAGTCTGCATTCGACTTCTAAGATGATAATATTTTTTTAGGTGTATGTTCTCTGTATTTAGAGAGAGATTCTCTTATTACTTATTTACAGATTAAAGCCATTCCTTTAAGAGTGCAGTTCAATGTCAGATTTAATCAGTTGCTGCTGGAAGGGACAGTGCTGCTTCCTTCTCTCTTTGCCCAGTGGGTGCTGGGGATTTGCTGCTGCCTGGAGAGCAGCATCTCCCTGTCCCTCTGGTGGGAGGCAGCACTGGCCGTGCTGGCTCTGCTTGTCCCCTCACAGCTGTTTGCTGGTGGCTTGTGCAGCTGGTGGTTTGGTCCAGCACAAGGTAGGCAAGGGGTAGTTGGGTGAAACTAAGCAGCATGAGGCTGTGGCCCTCAGTAGTGTTCCCAAGCGAGAACTCAGCCTCTTGCTCCCGTGCGTTTCACGAGCACTCTGGTTTTCAGCAGCTGTGTTTTGTTAGTTTTTGATTCAGGTTGTCTGCTGTGCTGGAGGAAGGACTGTGTTACCACTGTAGGTAAGGCTAAGTCCCAGCATCTGCTTTGTGATTTCTGGCAATCATTTAAACCCAGCTTGCCTGCTGTCGGAGTGATGTTTGCTGAGGTCTGGCCTCTGACCTGATGAGTGTTTCTCATAGTGCCTGTGTGCTCACGTTTGCCCCTGAGGATGTGTGGGCTTGTGCATTTAATGGCTTCCTAGGCTGTGCCCTGCACACTTTGTCACTCCTTGGCATGACTTGTGTCACTCATTTGCTGTTGTTTCTGAAGAGTTGGCTGTAACTAATACAAGTAACCTACATAAGCAGCGTGCACTATCAACCCTGAATAATCTAGAGCTTCCTGACAGATGAATTACAGGCATAAAAAAAAGCTTCACAGGGTATCCACCACACGAGTTGCATTCAGTGGCATATGACAATGCATGTAGTCTGTTTGCTTTATGGAGTTGGAATTAGAAGTAGTTCTCAGGAATGCTGAACAATTTTACATGGGTCCCAACCAGTCCTCTTTTAAATTGTCTTCCTGTATTCAGGCTGAAGATGGTTAGAACAAATGTAATGGTTTATATAGGAAATGAATCCTTATTCATTAATTTACGTACTTCTTTTGGCATTTCTGAAAGAATAATGGCAAAATATAACAGCAGCTGCAAGAGCAAACCCTGCAAACCTCAGGACCTTGCACAGTAGTGAGAAATTCAGTTCTTGGCAGGGGGTTGCAAGTTTGTACTGGTGATCAGATTTGTCCTTTCTGTGGCAAAGGTATAAGCAGAGATGTGAATTTCTGATATTTGTATGCTGGGAATGTAGAATCAACACTGAGGATGAGAGAAGCTCTATTGTTAAAGATGAAAATTAACTAAAATTTTTCTGAGTATGAAAAGTTCTGTTTTAGCATAGAATTTTTGGATCCCTTGGTCCTGTTGTGTAATGTATTGGTCTCATTAGAAAAGCCTGTGTAATGTCCACAGGTTGGTAAAACAAGGACTGAGATTTAAACACCCATCCTGATTGCAGTCACCACACTACATATCACACAGGACTTCACAAATGATGGAGTAATGATGGTAGCAGAACAGCTCAGGTGATGTGGCACTTTCTGAATGCTAGTTTGGTAATAGAGGATGGATAAAACCCATCCCATTTACTCAGCAAATTTCTTTAACAGAGGAGAACCTTACGTTTATTTGAAACAAGAGGATGTCCTGCGGTGCAAGCAACACCAAGAGTTAACAACCACTTTATTCTGCCAGCTGCTGTAGTATCAGTGGGAGGGAGTGGGCAAGTTAGGTGCTATTAAACAATTCTGTTTGATGCTGTCTCAGTTGTGGCATGTTTAAAGTATTGCAAAGCATACACTGAATTTATAATTCATACTTACAAATACTGTGTGCTATTTCTTTCCACTAAATTGTCTCAGTCTGCTTTAGCAAAATAAGATTTTAGACAGGCTCTTAAATTAGGAGAGCTTATGTCTACTCTCTGAAGTCAAAATTTTATATGTCATGGTACAGAGCACTTGAAGGGGAGAGGCTGATTTGCAGAAGCTTTTATTTTCTGTTATATATAAACTGCCACTGTGACCTTATCTAAAAATTTTCTTCTGTATCTTTGAAGTATTGACTAAGAAAAAGGAATTTCTTCTTTGGGCTGTGAATTAATAGCAAATTGCTTTAAAGAAATACCCAATGCATATAGCTACTAAGTTTTTATCATTCAATTATGTTTATAAATGTAAAATATATAAAAGACCAAAAATCTGAAGTGTGGCACTTTTCAGGGGTATTGCATAGTTTATATTTTGCAATGTTTGCTAATAAATAAATGTCAGCAAATAGAAATGTTACAACTTTTTCACTGGCCATCAAATGGAGGTATGATTTCACAAGCCAGAACATAGTCTGTAGTCTTTCATTTTGGTTAAAGGCTGTAAGATACCATACTTCTGAGACATAAAAAAAAAATGAATTAGGAGTTTGTTTATCAACTGTATTAGATCTTAGAAATGGAAGTCATTAAGATTTTGGCCTCTTCTGTACAAATTAATGTGATTACGTCTTGCTTATAAATAATTTGAGCTGTTTCTCCCTTAAAAGGTGCCTTTAATGAGTCACAGCTTCCATTTTAGTAAATTGTTCATGGGATAGGCAGGCTCAGGAACAACTGGGTTAAACCAAGAGATTATTTGAAAAATCTAGGGCATGTGCTCTCTGTTCACTTGATTAGTTTTCATAATTCATCCTTGTTTCCACAGCAAAGAGCAGCCTAATGCGTGCAAACAGGAAGCACTTTTCTTGCTTTTGTGCTCCTTCATCTCTGTAATTTTACCAGAGAAAGTAAGTGAAATGGGGAAACAGATTATGTGTGAATGTTTGGAACAAATCTTGGTTTGTTTTGTGAAAATCCATGGGATCAGAGAGCCAGGTGCTATTTGGGGATGTCTGTCTGTGACTCTGCTTCAGTTCTTTTCTGTTTGACTACAGGTGCATGAAGAACAGAGGAGATATTTCCGCTTATCAGAGATGATGTGGAGAGACTCTTTGTGAGTAACTGACGTGTGTTTTCTAAAAAGCTCAAAATGCTAATGTGGGAATTATTATCATTTTTATTCTCTAATTTAGAATAACTGTACCATTTGTCTAACCGTTTCATTTGGGTCTGGGAAGCTGTGAGTGTAGAGCCCTTCATGGGAACCATAGGCAAAGCTCATTGTTGAAGGAAAGAGCTGGAGGACAGAGCAATGTGTGGTTTCATAAGGGATTAACCACAATGCTTTACTTGTCTGTGGTGATCAGTCTACCAAAGGCTTTTACTGTTGGCTGCTGAAAGTGTTCTAGACAGCAGTAAAACCCCCGGCATGGTGGGCATGGGGAACCTTTAGCAGGGTTAACTTGTTACTTGTAGAAACTTAATCTGCATGTCAGGTTCTTGACATTCTATTGTCCTTGTCCAGTTTTGGATTGCATGTCTGCTATATCTGCTGTAAAGATGATGGGAATAGTAGCAGTCAATAGAAGCTTTCCTGAAAGTTTTCAGTTCTTTTCTGCGGGAATAAACAACAATATTCTGGGATCAAGCAGCTAAACTACACTCCTAAAATGTTACAGGAAAGAAAGAACCTCCATGATGAAATATAAGTGTACCTAAATAAGTACTTAAAGGATTTGCTTTTGTGGAGACAAGGTAATTTTTAGAGAGCACAATTAGGTGATGCAATGTCTTATTTTTCAGATGGATTCCATAAAAATGCTGTGCTTTTAGTGCTATAGACTCCTCAGCCAGCTCATTCCTTTGGAGTAATTAGTCCCAGTGTTTCCTTTTTTTGCCAGATTTCCAGTAACAGTTGTGAATTAAAGCAGCATGTTATTTTAGGATTTTCCATGACAGTCTTTGTGCTTCTTTTTTTTTTTGTGTGTAAGTATAATATGAGTAATGTGTTCTTGAGTGCTTTCTTTTAAACCATAAACTTTGATACACTGGAGGTGCTGCTTTGTTCTAATGGTAATTATCTAGGAGAACAGTGCCTTTGTGGACAACTTCAGTCTCTTGGCAAGGAAGAGCTCAAGTTAGACGAACTGCTCTTACCTCAGGCACCTTGATTTCTAAGTTTTCCTATGTTTGTAACATTAAAGCTACACAGTGAAAATTTTTTCTTTGTTCTTTTCTTAAATTGAAGAAAAATCCTTTTATTACAACAGACTAGTAATTGCTTCAACTCCTAGGTAGGAACCAGTTTGGGTTCCTACACGTGACTTGCTTTTCTTGTTACGTGGATCTAAGAGAGAGGTTAAATGGTTTTTAGACTTCCCTCTTCCTGGAGACTTTTGGATATTTTCTTAGATAGGGTTTTGTGATTTGTTTAGTAACTAATTAAAAAAAGTCACTATTGCTTAATGTTCTCATCCTGGTTTGGCATCTGCAAATAGTGCCTGATTTGAAAGCCTGTCTTGCTTTCACTCAAGAGAAAATCAGCTTAAAGATAATGTTGGCTTGTAGTCATCTTTCCCTTGGCTTCTTCCAGGCTCTGCTTGCTGGTTCAGGAAGGCTGTGTGAGGATTTTTTTATAACAATCTCCTGGCCAGATGCTGAATTCTTTATGAAGCAGCAGGAGAAATCTTTGTCCTGATCCAGCTGACTTACCCAGGAGATAGTGTTGATTTGATTTACTCTGTTATGTTGAGATCTCTTGTGGACAAAGTCTGTGAAGTTTTAGCTGCAGTTGGCTGAGTAGCAATGATAATATGCAATATTCTTCATTATTTTATTATTTTTAAAAAATGAAAAATCTATTTAATTAAATAATAATTTAATTTAAATAATCTAATAATTTAATTAAATAATCTCATGAATTTAAATATTTTTAAATCTCTTTAATATTATCTGCTTAATAAAATTGGAACCTGATCAATTTGGTTTTTTTATTAAAATTTAAATTTTAAAGAAATTTAGGTATACGTGTTCCAAGCGTCAATCTTTATACCTTGAGGTGTTCTTATGGTGATGCTACATTTATTTGATAATACATAAATTTTTCCTGGAGCTTATTTACATATGTTGACTATATTTTAGTGAGGTCATTTTCAGAAAAGACTTTCTATAAAATAGGCAGCAGCTATTTTGTGGGGCTAGCATTTGATTTGTACAGGTGGTTGCTGTTAAAGACCTTTCAGTTGCACAGCAGTCAGCTTTTCATGGTCTGCAGCACTGGGCTGGGTCAGGTTGTGCTCTGATGCTTGAGTGGATGAGGCTCACAACCAATGGCACCCACCATGAAGAGTGTTTTGGGATTTCCCTGCATTAGTACTCCTCTGTGTCAGCATTAGTAGCTGCAATAACAGGTAATATCTTTGTGGACAGTTCCATTAGGTCTTAGGCATTATTGCAAGGGTGAACATGTGTGAAATAGAATGGGATAAGTTGAGAATTTAATTTAATTTTTGGTGCAGGGTGGAGCTGAAGGAACGGGTTCCTTTGCCAGTTCTGTATGATCATAACCTTGGCTTTAACCTTTATGCTGTAATATGTTGAGAAGTATTCTGGACTATATAAAGGAAATTGCTTTTTGTCTGTTACTATTGTTCTTTTTGTGGTTATTACTGTGTACTTGATGTGTAGGATTTCTGCTGAAAATTGAAAAACATTTCACCTTTTGAATGCTCAAAGGTTTTTAAGTGCTTGAAATATACACTGCAACTTAGTCCATTAAGTCAAAAAGTAACTTAGCTAATGAAGAACCAATGTCCAATAAAAGCTTTTTCATTTTCAATGTAGTATTGACTCCTAAATTAATAAACTTTAGAAATATTAATTCTTAAGTGGATAATATTTAACATGAAGTTTAACCAAAATGCAGAGATGCACAGCATTCCCAATGCTGATTATTTCTGGACAGGCTGAATGAGGGTGCCTTGTTCTGCTTGACTTCTGCCCATGTCTGAGTCTAATTTGTGCAATAGTAGAAGGTGCTTGAGCTGTGCCCTTGGTAGCCAGTAGATCAGGGACTGTGTGTGACAAGCTGGACACTGAAGGGATATGCTGTATCTAAGCTATTCAGTTTCCTCATGAATGGACTGATTAATATGTTCTGTTGGCCTTTCCTCTCTGTAACCACATAAAGCTTTATGCTCTTAAAATAATTGACAGTCAGCAGCTGGTTTCACAGCAGGATTTTTTTCACTTGGTAGTGAGGAAAAGGTTGGATCCAAATGTCATGGTCCTGTTGTCTTTGTGGAGACAATTCAGATTTTTCTTTCACTTTGCTGGATTTCTTATCTACAGTTTTATTCTTACGTGCAATGCTTATCTAATCAACCTTTTATCAGCAGAGTTTATTTCATCACTGTGGGTTTATTAAGTGTAGGTGATGATGAATGAGCTTTAATATGTTGTAGCCACAGGTGACTTATATCAGGGAAAGGCTTTATGAGGGTTGGAAAGTGCAGATGAAAGTCCTTTACAGGAAGAGAATACTGAAGAGATGGAAAATCTCTTAAGTTTACATTTTAAGAGCAGTTATGAATTGATTAGATGCTTTTGGGCCAGCTAATGATAATTGAATTAATTTCACCATAGATATGTAAGTTTAAATTTGGTTCATTATGCAAATCCAGGCATTAAAAAGTTGATCATATGACTTAAAATTCAGAGGAATATTTCATTTAAGACAGTATTTTAATTACACATACCTCAGCATTGTAAAAATTCTGCTTTCTGCTGCTTTATGTTCAATGCAGTGGTTTAAGGCTGTCCTTGCACAGAGCCCTGACCTGAGGCCATGTGCTGCCTGTAGAAATGGGGGAGTCTCAGGTGCCTGCCCCGTTTGAGGTGAGGTGTTGGTGGGAAGAGCTTCTGTCCCTGCTAAGGCTGCAGCAGGCTGAGCTGTTCGCTGAGACACAAAGCAGAGGATGGAAGCAGTGTCATCTTCTAGGCCATGAAAATGGGCAGAAAAGCTCATTTGGAACAGATAAACTTTAGAATTAATATACAAAGAGGGGAGGGGCCTCAGATGATTTGTGGCAGACATGAGATAGTGGATTAAAATTTCTTTAAAAGTGTGTTCCAGCTGTGTTGTGCTGTATCTCCCTCAATGTATTAACAGGCAGATCTGCTTTTAAACTTCAGTTACATAAATCTTTCTGTAAAATGCAACACTGTGCTGAAATTTTACAATGACTCTGATATGGTCAGACTTGTCCCTCTTGGAGTTCAATTTAGGAATTGGCCCCCAACTGCCAAGACAGGGATTGACTTGAGAGCCAAGATGCCAGTGTACTTAGGCAGTGAAATAATCCTGTGTAGCTTGGGAGCACAGAGGCACAGTTGTGTTCCTGCAAATGTTATGCAGGGGTTGAAATTGCTCAATGGTTTTGAGATTATGGATTAAATTTCATTAAGACTGCAGAAGGATTTTCCTTTCTCCAAGTAAGAGCACAATAGGTTTATTTTGCTGCTATACAATGTCTTATTAAAGGTTGCAATGGCTATGCAGTGAAGCAGTTTGGATTCTGCGTTGGTACAGGTGTCTTGAATTGTTTTGGGAAGTGTTTTAGGATGGTGAGGGCAAAGCAATAGGTCTTCTGGAGCTTTACTCTCTGCACATTGGTAATGTGTCCTTTGCTGGGTTGCCTCCTGCTTGCCAGAGTGTATTTTTCACAAGCCGGGTGTTTATGCTGCTTTAGCAGTGTTCTGTGTGCTGTATGCAGTAGAATAGTTTACATAAAACAAGAATTGCTTGCACTGATTTTAAATATGGTTTTGTATTATGGAGTTCATTGTAGTGAATCCTGTTCCATTAGTGTCACTTCCTTTTTAGTGTGTGTGCTTTACCTGAAATTCACTGCTTGTAAATGGCATTTCAGGAAGTCTGAACTGATCCAACACATGCTGACTTTGCCTACAGCTGGATTTTGATGAACTCTTCAGTGCAACATGAAGTGTGTTGTTTTTTATTAACAAAGCTTCCTTAAAATTTAGACTTTGGACAGTTTTGCACAACTTATTAAAAATTGCTTTCACTTCAAGGAGCCAAATGGATTCTAGTTT